TGCAGTGGGGGAAACAAGTCTTTTAATTCACTGGAAGTCAGGCAGTCCAAAAAGTTGTAGACTCACCCATAGATAATGTCATAGATATTGGGGATTTTTACAAAGTTGGTGAATGGACAATAAAAGGGGCCGCACTCTTCCAAGGAAAGCCCGGTACCTAGGTACATATACCAATAGCCATTTGTAAACAGCGTTTCATTTTTTGAAACTCCACGTCTTGAAGAGAAAAGAAATATCCTTCCTTAAAGGGAATTTTTCGGACCATTCGCTAATATTACCAGACTCAGCACAATGGTTCGTTTCTAACTGGAAATAAATCTATATCGTATATAATACGGGAAGGAATTTGTTGTCCAAGAAAATTAGGTTTTAAATTGAAGGACTTGGTATGTAGATATGCAAGCAGCGCTCACTTTTTTGAAAAAAACTTGCCACCTTTTTATACCCGAGCGCACTAGTGCACAAGGGTATATTAATTTTGTTCACATAACGGTTGTTTGTAACAGCCAAAACGAATCGAGATAGATATAGACAAATGTATACATAAATGCTCAGAATGAATAGAGAAATCGATTAAGCCATGTCTGTCTGTCCGTCCGTCCGTGTACACGATAACTCGAGCAAACATTGAGTCATCTCAACGAAATTTGGTACGTAGGTTTCTGTTAATACAACGTAGGTAGGTATTGAAAATGGGTGAAATCGGACAGTAACCACGCACACTTCCCATATAACGGTATTTTCCAGAAATACGAAAACTGCGATATTTTAGTAACTACTGAAGATTATTCACTCAAAATTGATATTTACAACAATTTTTAGATCAAAAATAAGAATATTATAAATTTTTGGAAAATGGGCGTAGCCATGCCCACTTATGGTTCGATAAATCAGTAAATATTAAAGCTAATTTATTCAAAATTGATGCTTGCAACAATTGTTTACCAAGAAATACGTTTATGGTAAAATTTTGGAACATGGGCGTGGCACCGCCCACTTATGATCACATATATTTATATTGGTAACCGTTCTACCTATTTGTACCAAACTCGGTATTTTTATTTTGCTTGCCACATAAAAGCAAAACGTTGAAAATTATTGAAATCGGACTAAAATTACGGCCGCTTTTCATATAACGGTAAATTACAGAAATGCTTGAAACTGCAATATTTCGAAATTCAAGGACGCTAATTTACTCAAATTTGATACACCCCGGCTTACAATCTAGCGGTAGGTTACGGAAAGGTGAAGTATATTTAATACTTGCGCCGGGTATTTAATGTTCGGCTCCACCCGAACTTAGACTTTCTTACTTGTTTAAAGTTAAGTTCAAATTATTTCAACAGTTAAATCAGTTGTTACAAAATTGGTATCATTTGACAATTATTTTGAAAGGGTTTTATTTCTTAACCACATGTAGGAGAGTTTCTTGTTTAAAAAATTAAATTCAATTTGAATTAAGGGAATTAGGTAATTGCATAAAGTGCAATCATATGGTTGCCAGACGAAAGAGTTTTAAAAATATTTTAGTTTGAAAATACTTTGGAAAGCGTGGCCACCTCTTTGGAAAGTCGAATTTAATTAAATCATACGTAAGTTATATCGGCGCAATACCTCGTATCTGCCAAATGCAATACCAAGCATGAGGTGGCATAAAAAAAAATTTCACATATTTAGTAGTAAATATTTATAGTAGAAGCTCATATTTAGTAAGTTTAGTAAGTAAGTTGATTCGCTCTTTTCCGAAATTTTCGGACTATTTTATACGTGGTATAGCATTTGGCATAGTGGTCTGAAGCTATCGATGGTACTATCGACACTATCTATGGTTTCGGACTATCGTACGGCTATCGATTGTTTTCAATACTGTCGATAGTTTCTGATAATTTTTGTTTTTCTTACATTATTGTTTCATCGCTTATTGTCACTTTGCATACGCATTTGACACAACCTGGCAGCACCTTTTAATAAAAGATAGTTCGGCTGCGTAATTTTACCCGCATTTTCTTGTTTCAGCGAGTGCTTTGATAAGCGAAAAATATGGATAGATTCGTGATAAGAATTGAAGAAGGTAAATATCTGATATTGAATTACGTAAAATAACAGATGTAGAATGATAAAATATCTGATATTGAATGACGTAAACATGCAGCTCTAAAAAAGTTCGAATTTTTTAATTAGCAAAGAACCCTTCTGATTCGTATGAAGTTTTGCTTTGCTTCAAACACGTGAAATATTTTAAAAGTTATGCAAAATTCTTGAAGCAACTGTTTTTTCCCTCTTCTGTAAAATTAAAAAACATGGACTTAGCAACTATTCACTCTAAGATAGCGATTTACTGATTTTGTAAAAAATATTTTTTACAAATTGGTACAGAGCAATACAAAGCCAAATTGTAAGTTTAGAAGAATATCGAAAACTATCGATAGTTAACGATTGCTTCTAAAGAACTATCGCACACTATCGTTAGTGCCGAATATCGATAGTTTCTGATTTAGATTAAGTTTAAGATAAGAATTAAGAATATTAAGGTTAGGATTAAGAATAAGACTAAGATTAAGATTGATATTGAAATCAAGATTAGGATTAAGAATAAGATTAGGGTTAAGATTAAGAATAAGATTAGGGTCATCATTTGAATATGATAGAGATTCAAATATATTAGGATTTAAAAAGTATAAAAAGATTAAGATTAAAATTAAGATTAAGAATAACACTAATAATGAGAATTAAATTAAGATTAAGATTATGGTTGATAATAAGTTTAAGGTTAATTTTAAAAATAAGGTTAAGAATAAGAATAAGATTAAGATTAAATACAAGATTAAGATTGAGATTAAGATTAAGAGTAAGACTAAAGTTAAGATTAAGATTGAGATTAATATTAATATTAAAGTTAAAATTAAGACTGAGATTAAAATTAAGATTTGAATTGGGATTAAAGTTAAGAATGAGATTAAAGTTATTATTAAGAATAAGATAAAGATTAACTTTAAGATTAAAATTAAAATTAAAATCAGGATTAGGGATGACATTGCGATTTAGATTAAAAGAAGGATTGAGATTAAGAGCAGGGTTAAGTTTAGAATTCAGTTCAGCACAAGAACACTGAACAGTGCGCAATGTCGATACCGAATTTTCGCCAAACCAAACTTGCCAAGTTACGACGGAAATTCGTTACAAAACAAATCATGTTTCTGCACTGTCGGAAAAATTTACCAACAAAATCATCACATTTAAGTTCATAATTTAGATTTATTTTAAGAAAAGATTGGGGTTAGGAATAGGAGTAAGTTTAAGATTGCGATTAGGGCTGAGATAATTTTTCAATATTATGAAGTAAAGTAATCATATATTATGGTGAACTATAAGGGTAAAGTTAAAAAAAATCACTTCGGTCAAGCGTGGGATCCACGCATAATTTTGTTTTAATTTTTCAGTAAATTTTTTAGCAAAAATGAGGATACACACATATGGCTGAACTGAGTAACAACATTTTAAAAAGGCTTGACACGCCTACTTACATACATACATACATATATAGAAAAGCAGGCTAACACCTCTAAAACTTTTGTCAGCACAAAGAAATAAATAAATACAAAGAAATTAGTTTTGCAGTGGGCTGTGGCAAGAATGTTAAGAAATATATAGCATTTTTGGAGACTATTTGGAAGCTCACGCGAAGAGTTTAAAAACTGGTAAACGATAACCTTAAGAGAAAGTCCTGTACATGTTAACAGGCATAAACCGAGAGAATAAATGTAAGAGAGCTTTGTTCGTGAGTAAGGTAAAAAAAAATATTAAAGAATATAAAGTAAATGAGATAATTAAGAAGTACAATTAAAAAAAGTTACAAAACTTCTATGTAAAAAAGTTAGTGATTCATTATAGAAATTAATAGTTNTATTAAAGAATATAAATTAAATGAGATAATTAAGAAGTGCAATTAAAAAAAGTTACAAAACTTCTATGTAAAAAAGTTAGTGATTCATTATAGAAATTAATAGTTGAGGATTATTAAAAAATTAGAAATATATATATTTGTTTTTTTTTTTAANTAAGAGAGCTTTGTTCGTGAGTAAGGTAAAAAAAAATATTAAAGAATATAAAGTAAATGAGATAATTAAGAAGTACAATTAAAAAAAGTTACAAAACTTCTATGTAAAAAAGTTAGTGATTCATTATAGAAATTAATAGTTGAGGATTATTAAAAAATTAGAAATATATATATTTGTTTTTTTTTTTAATAAACTCTATAAACTAAAATCTGACTAATTCGCACAGAATCAACTTTCGGTATATCCGCAAAACATGCTGCCTAATATGTTATTCAAATCGCATATACCAATACAGCTGCTGACGTTGTCAACGCACAGCATTTAGTAACATCAGCAGCAATTGCCGAGTACCAAAATCAGCCGCAAGCAGCCATTAGATACCGGGCACAGTGCTTAGCGCAGCACGCCCATAAAATGTAATAAATTAGCTACAAACAAACTTAAAAAACTCCAAGCATTTTGCTCCTCGCGCTCTCTATGAGCACGCCCTTCCACTCCACCATCATTGCTATNACACAGCATTTAGTAGTAACATCAGCAGCAACTGCCGAGTACAAAAATCAGTCGCAAGCAGCCATTAGATACAGGGCACAATGCTTAGCGCAGCACGCCCATAAAATGTAATAAATTAGCTACAAACAAACTTAAAAAACTCCAAGCATTTTTCTCCTCGCGCTCTCTATGAGCACGCCCTTCCACTCCACCATCATTGCTATACACTCAGTAGTACACTCTCGATTGAGCGTTGAGCTGTGAGTACCTCTAAAATGGCACGCCACTCTTGCAGCATCCATCAGTTCGAGGAGAATAAGCAGCAAAAACTTTTTGTTTCCAAAGCGACAAAACCGACGCGGCACTGTGGCGCTTGCTATGTCCTGGCGGCTATGGCAGCGACGCTACAAAAACAATACTCAGCGCTTCAGTACGGTTTTTGATATTTTTGCGCAAGCAACGGTGCTGATGCGCTGCGTCTCGAGCGCACGAAAGTAGCTCAGATGACAATGGAAAGACAACGCTGAAAAAATGTGTTTCAAGCAAGCAAAATATAATTCGATTGCAAAAGTGAAATGTGAAATGCATTGGCGAGTGACGAAAACTGGTTGAAGGCAGTTGGAAAATAAAAACGAGTTTTTTAGTAGAATTCTTTTAAATTTTTCGAAAAGAAATGGGAGACTACAATATAACAAAATAAATACTCAAAAACTCTTTGCATACATTTAGGCGCTTTGCCGCCACAACCAACTACCAAGTCAATGACACAAGTCAACAACGCAAAAAATAGTGGCACACATACAACTACAAGCATCCAGCAAGCATTACAACAACAAAAACACACACACACTCAACAGTAAAACGTGCGCAAGGCGAACATCGTCGCTGCACAACATTTGCGCTCTCAAGCGCGCGCTCAGCTGGCGCGCGACAAACTCTCAGTTGCGGCACGCCGCTGTCAATTAAGGGCCAAGAGCCTTCATGCTACGCTGCCAGCTGTCACTTATTGCTGACGTTTACTCGCCACTTGTAACAGACTTTTAGTACATCGGTTTAGTACACAACTAGCGTAGACGTCACAGCAAAGGCACTAATAAAACGCAACAACAAAAACGAAACGCGAAGGAGCGCAACACAAAGTACCAACAACAACTAAACCAAATAAACAATAGAACATAAAAAAAAGCGAAATTCACGAAGCGTGCAGAAAGCAAGTGCAGCGAAAATAGGCGGTAACCGCTGCTGCAACCGGCTCTAGGGCAAATACAACACAACATACCAGATACATATGTATATGCGCTCCTCGTAAAAATCTTTCACACGCCTGTAGTTATGCATTGCAATTCAGCGGAAGGTTAATCATTTGTTTATGAGTGTGTGCGTGTGTGTGAGCGTATTTGAACTATTTAATTCTTTTAAACGCTATTCAATGCATTTGCTCGCCCATAAAATACGCACAGTGTAGAGAATGTCGTCACTACGCAATTTAGCCACTTTTTGGCTAAATTGCAAATTTGTTTGCCTTCTGATTGTGTTTTTGTTGCTGTGCGAGAGTGTCGTTCAGGTGCACGCGAATCCGGATGCCAAACGACTCTACGATGACTTGCTCAGCAATTACAATCGCCTCATACGACCTGTCAGCAATAATACGGATACTGTTTTGGTAAAGCTCGGATTGCGACTGTCACAGCTGATCGATTTGGTAAGTGTGTGGGTGGGACGAGGGGAAAACTATACTACTTGTAAGTAATAGTAATAAATCAAGGGCAAGGGCCCTTCAGAATATTGTGGAAATGGTCTTGAATTTGCATTTTATTGTCGTTGTCAGTGGCGGATTTACGTGGGTAGTTTTCGGATGAAAACCCCCAACGAACAAAAATACTCAATATTGTGCTCAGGGATTCGAAATAAATAAGAAATATTGCACAAATATACCGTAGTCGAATGTCGAAATTTGGCNTGTAGATACATACATACTCGCGAAACTAGGTGCCAAATATAGCAAAACTGAGTTTCTTGTTTTCTCTCTGAAGTATCTTTTTTTTAAAGGACTTTGAATATTAAAGGATACGAAAAATTGAAAAAATTATTTTAAAAATTTAGAGCGATGTGAAATAGCAGTATACGCATTCAATAAAGAGAAAATTTTTTAGAATTCAAAGACTTTCAATTTTTTAGTGCACATGGACGAATAAGTATTGAAAATGTCCCTTTAAATCATTTTTTCTTTTATCTAATTAACTTAACAGGACAATTTCAATACCCTCTCGTCCTTGTGTACCAGCACATTTAATTTTCTTTCAATTTTACAGAGATTTGTATTTTGTTTGACACTGATATTGTTATTCTACATTGCACTGAATTTTTTAATAATTTTTGAATTTATCATATCCTTGAAATTTCAAAGTCCTGACGTCGGAGAGAAAAAATAAAAACGTAGTTTCATTCTGTAGGTAAAATTGAGTGTCGCACGCTGTTATATGTTGCCTACTACTGGCCAGGAGAGAGTCATTTTGAAAATAACGGTTTCGAAGGTCTCGGAAATAATTTGTTTGTACGCTTAATAGCCAAAACTGCTTAGAATTGATTTTTAGGAAGCTACTGAAAAACTCGGACACAGCTGTAGTGCAATTCTTTTATTTATTATAAATCTTCGGCGAAAATGCTACAAATGTAGACCGCCGAGCACATGAAAGATAAATTTTCTTAACCCTTATTAGGCACATAAAGAAAATCACACAATTAGTCGCATGGGGTCCAGAGTGACCCCAATAAAAGTGTTGGAAAAACGGTTTTACAAATAATAAAATAAAACGAAGTGTGTATTACCAAATATATTAAAGTATTGTATTGTTGTTAACTAAAAAAAAAAAACATAATTTCGACTTCAAACTTAAAAAATAAATTAAAAACTTGGCCTCGTCAAAAAATGTTACGTTAGTGGTCGCATGGGGTCAGCACTGAAGTGAGTAGCGACACATGTGTACGCGACGATGTTCTAGCCGCGACTAAATAAATAAAATGAAATGTGTGTGGGCTGGGTTATTTTGTCCGATTTAAAATTTTTCAGCTGTGTGGTATGCTTTGACGAGACCAATAACTGCGTTAAGTTGGCAAGAAATTGGTGGAGCAGTTACCAAGTTATACACGTGTAAACACGCCCATTTCCCAAAAATTTTAATATTCTCATTTTACGCCTTAAAATCAATGCAAATGTCATTTTAAGTGAATGAGCTTCAGTACAGTACACTGCAAGAACAGTGACTATCATTTGACAAATCATTTGAGTAGCAAG